ATAAAAGTAGATCAGACATGAATTTATAAAATTTTAGCAGGCAAATTTGCCTGCTAAACTGGATGGTTTAAGGGATAGTGAGTTACTATAAATAATTCTATTATAGAATTTACTTACTATTTTAATAACTTATTAATATTTGATGAAAATTATTATGATTTCTATTATAAATTATTTCAAATAATTTGTTACAAACTTACTATTCTAATAATTATATTATGTGATTATATTATGTTATTTTGCATTGGGATTGTTGTGATTTTATCATAGTTATTTACTTGAAAATTCCATCACAAAACTTACTCGTTATTCTAAATGTTAGTTCGCATTGGAATTGATGTGATTTGTGTAAATAATTCTGTTACAGAAAAAATACTAACAATTTCGGCAAACACAATGAATGTTAATATGAGTTGGTTTGAATTTTCTACGATTTGCAAAATGGTTTATTTTTGATTAAATTTTTGCAAATCGCAATAAATTAATATTTTATTCATGAGCTACTGAAAAATTCTGTTATATAATTTTGTCACAGAACTTACTCACTATTCTGGTTATGCGATTAAACTTTAGTTAGTTTGCATTGGAATTTCATAATTTTTATTGTAAATTATTGTAAATTATTGTAAATAATTTTGTTACAAACTTACTATTCCAATACCACAATATGTATATTGATTTTGTTATGATTTTTATTGTGAGTTACTGTAATAAATTTGTTACAAACTTGCTATTCCATTGACTATAATATGCAATTAAGATGAATGCATGGGTTTCTATTGGAATTGAGCTATTTAATAAATTATATTATAGTACTTACTCGCTATTCCAGTGACCACAATATGTGATAATTTCGTAAGTAATGAGATAATGGGAAATAGTGATCCTAGCCAAACCAAAAAAATTGACTAAGCTGATTTTTTGACCTGGCCGGTCGATTTTATGCAAAATCAGCATAATAAAATGGTTTCCTCGAATTGTGCACGATTAATAATTTAGTATTGTATCTGCCCAAAAACTTCGCTTAAATTTCACATTTCAACAGCCAATTTTCTAGCAACAATATTAAATTAATCAGTGAAATGTATTCACAAATATATATGTTTACCATTACGAAATTATTTAATTCACATTACTTTAGCCTAAACTAGTCAAGGTTCGCGTTAATTTATTTACAGCTGTTTCATAAGTTTTGGGAATTTAAAAAATCGTCGATAACCGAATTGATGTCTGCAACATCAGTAACTTAATGATTCTGATTCGCAATTCTGTTACTGAAAATTTTTTAGCTGCTCTATAATTTATGAAAACAACCGTAATAAATAATGAAATTTAAAATAGGTTTACGAATATATCGTTCTACCAGATAAGCTGAAAATTTTTCAGCTAAGTCGAATAAGCTAATAAAATTTTATTGGCTTAGCCAGTCGAAAAATTTTGATCGGATGGGATTACTAATGGAAAATCAGTTTATATAATTGGGAAGTATGAGGTAATTTTGATCTGATCATAGTATATATTGATATCGATAAAGTACTGTATGTAGGGAAAATAACCTTGTTTTTCTCCAAAACTGAATTCATTCTGACTATATCAACCATCCCGCAGCCACTAATGATGATTAAGTTTCACTATGACTGTCGGACGACAGTAATACAGGGGTAGGGCCGAGGTATAAGTTTTGGCCTATCGAGACAACAGCAATAATAGATAGCATAGATTACTTTGTATGACCTGTTGGGACGACAGTCATGATATGTATATATATATATAAAAAGGAGTGTAAAGTGTTGTACGATGCTAAAAACTGCATGAGTTGATTGATAAACAGGAGAAAGATCCCGTATGTGTTTTCATAATAAGTTACTTCAGTTATGAGAGACAAAGCAACCACAGGAATTTGTTGCGATTTCTATTGTAAAAAATTTGCTACAAGTCTTTTTACTTGCTATTGTAATACACATAGTATGTCATTAAGTTTGAATTAGGGGTTTAAATTTCATTTGTAAAATTGATTTATTGGCAAGTTACATGAATTTGTAAATAAGAAAATTAATAAAATTAATACCCGCGAATTATTCACCCGCTGCACAATTCTGAACTCCCTTTTTAGATACATGCCAAACTTCATAATCCTCTATAAGAAGAGTCGAATTTAGTGAAACAAAGTTTTTTAAATTGGGATAAATATTAGTATTAGAAATATGCAAGTGTTTTGAATCAATATACATGTCAAAATTATTCTTATTACAACCAAAGCATGGACCGTATTCTGAATGATATTCTGAAACCAAACTATTCATTTTAACACATGCCAATTTTGAAGTATTAAATTCATTTTGACTATCAAAAGAAAATAAAAAATTTTTTCTTTATACTGTTCTCTCAAAATAATAATTTTCTGTTTTTGAATCATTATAACCGCCAAAAATACGTGATCAGATGTTTTTATAATTGTTAATGTTGAAACTTTATTGTCACATGAGTCATGAAACTTCTTTGCATTAAACCCATTTTTCTTTCCACGATAAAGAAGAATAAAATCA